CATCACCAACAATCCAACAAAAGCTCAACAGATGTATCAATACATCACTTACACATAGTTGGATTTAATGTTCAGTGTCAGATTTGTAAAATGTTTTGTTCTTTATCAAGAGTTTAAGAGCACAACCTTCAGGATCTGAAATCAGTCTGTAAACTTAAAGGGAAAAGTAACGTAACATTCACGGAGATAAATATCGATATCGTGATATTATCGATATTTGTTTTACCTTGATAACATTCTTTGGCAATATTGCCCGGCCCTTATTCAAAATGTGAGTGTAAAGTGGCAGAAAATAGAAATACTTTAACCTAATGCTGTCTCAAGTCTGTGAATGAGAAAAACCTTGAGTAAAAACCAAGGAGATGGATACAGGAACATGAACACATGATAAAATATAGATATGTAATGTAAGAGTATAGTTTAGTGTGTGGCTCAGGTATAGGCCACTCTTCGACACCTGTTGGTTCACATCTGGAAACACGTGGAGTTTGGTGTGAGGCTGTCAAAGGTGATGAGGTCCACTGTCACACTATCTCTATGTAAATCCACCACAGTACATCACACAACACTCAGATAGAGTTCAGTAATAAAGAGAAGAACTATTAAACCCCACACATTACCTGTTTTCTGCTCGCCTTTAACTCAACACATGCAAACTCCGCAGATGTTCCATATCACAGTGTCCCTCCTCTCTGATCGAGGTGTTCTCTCCTCTAATGAAGCCAGTTTAAAACACAACTGGATCCAGTTCCTAAGAGTTCCCGACACTTCGCTGATCAGCTGCAGATGTTTTCTCCGCACAGAGCTCACATCCTTTCCTCTGCCTCGGTGACGAGCCACCCGCCGAAATAAAAAAAAAAAACGTCGTCCGCTGCTTTTCCTCTCGTTTCTCCACAAACCCACAGCTTCCTGGTTCAACACAATACAAACAGTGACATGAAAGTATGGAGGAAGTGCAGAGGAACCGGGCAGCTGGCTCCGGGGGCAGGGAGGACGAGCTGTCCGCCTCCTATCTCATCTCATCTCCGTCAAATCTGCGCTGATAAACCCGCGACACGGACCATCGTCGTCGGTTCAGGGGTTCAGCGTCGGCTCCTCTCCTCCTCCGAGTCCCGAGGAGTACGAAACTTCTTTTGTTGTCCTCCGTGTTCCTGATCTAAAGTCAAGATTGCAGATTTTTTTTTAAATAGTGTACAGCTGTGTCCCACCCCTTATTGTCCCGCACAGACTCTGACTGGAATGTGTTCTCATAGCGGTTTTCCTGTTGCCTGCTAAAACCTCTCATTTTCCCTTTTCCCCTGTGGACTGGTGTCTGCACTGCACTGAAAGGAATGTGCTTCAAAGACCCCCCTCCCCTTACTTACAACAACACGTCTTTGGCTGAACAGCTCAACATTATTATCAGTTATTAAACTATGATCCTATTTTTTAGAAGTTCAGAGGCCGGGGGGGCTTTTGTTATGCATCTAACAACAGAGATGTTTCAAAAGCTAAATCGACTGCAACCGATTTTTTTTTGCTGAACACACCATTAGACACTTTCAAATTGATTCGGCAAACGTGTTAGAAAACAGTTGCTTATGCCCACATCTAACAGTTACAGAGCAATATCACCATTAGTTTGAGCTGCTTTCAGACAGGCACTGAACTCCGGACACTCTCCTGACATTATTCGGAGGGCCTGTATTTGAGAACACAAATCAGATATTGAGAAGCTGCGGGCATTGTCCTGAGGGTCCTATAGCAAGATGCAAAAGACATTTTCTAGAAGGCTGTATGTAGGAAGGCAAATCTTGTGAACTGCTTTCAAAAATGCTCCTAACGCCGGATAATCTCCTGACATTATTCAGAGGGGCTGTATGTGAGAACACAAATGTCCGAGTCAGATGCTCCAGAAATTTTTTGGAGGGAGCTTGTATGTGAGAACGCAAATTTCCGAGTGAGACGTTCCAGATATTTTTTGGAGGGTCTGTATGCAGGAATGCAAATCAGCTCCAGATATTCTCAGGAGGTGCTGTGTGTGAGAATGCAAATGTGCTAGTGAGAAGCTGCAGACATTGTCCCGCGGGGCTGAATGTCAGAATGCAGATGTCCTAGCGATATGGCCAAGACATTTTCTGGAGGGTCATATGTGAGAACTTATGTCCTAATGAGACTTGCCCAGAGTTTCTCCTGCCAGGCCCCCATTAAAAACTCCTGAGAATGTCCACATGAACTGAACTGTGACTTTAATGAGCCGGTGTGTTGATCACGTTCGTATCATGCGACAGATGAAAATTGTATTCTTATTCTTAATAGAGTTCATGTTTAAACTGTAAGAGTTTGATAACAACATATCAGGAATCATTGCCAAAGTTTTCTTTAAATATATGTGTATCAATATCCGAAGTTTCTTTATTCCTTAATATCAACATTGGCCCAAAAAAATCCATTATCAGTCGGGCTCTACAGACTGTGCATTATTCTGCACAGTCAAGGCCAAACACTCAAGTGCAGTAACAACAAGATAAACCCAATTTGAGTGTTTTATTCTGATAATCTGTATTTTCAATCTATTTGGTGAGAACTGTAAAGTTTGCTCGCACACATTTAGAAACACAATGGTGCTACAGTAACTAATCAGAGCAATTATGGCAAAATGTGTGTAAGTGGCAAATGCTGAATTATCTCTTAGATGCCAGAGAGACTAAGCTGTGTTAAAACACTTCACTGAGCAGAGCCTGAGAGAGATGTCTTCATGTCTCTAATATAAATTAGCCTCCTTGTTCTCAGGCTCTGTAATCGCTCCACTTTTGGCGTGCGGCTGCAGACGCAGCTGGGAGCTCTCACATCAGCTGTCATGTCGAAAACAGAGCAAATTGTTGTTCTTTTTATATTCCTCTTTCCTGCTAATCTCTGCGATTCAGAGAACCACACAGTCCTACTGCACCCCCGAGGTTTCTCTAATAAGGCTCTATTTGTTCTTTTATCTAATAAAGTAGGGGAAATTTGATATTGCATCAGCTGACTTGTTTTCAAAAGCATGAAATTCCTGATAAATAGACGACCAGTTTTACTTCTCCTCCACTTTAGTAGTATTGACTAATCTTTATCTTTGCTGAGCACATAAAGCCAAACTGTAATGTTACAGTATGATAACCTTATTCTCAGAGGTCAAAATCTGGTCTACAAGGAGCTTTTGCAACCACTTGAATTTCTGTTTTTGAATATATAAAATGTACTTTTTTAAGTTCATATGTAAAATCTGAATGTGGAAAGTAATTTGTAAGTAAACAATATATCAGCTGATGCAGAAACCTATAAAAGCTGAATGTTTTGATATTGCACATTGGATTCAAATATTACAGAGCGTTCAAAAGCAATCACTTGCCAATTGAGAGATATTAAAGGCGTCATTATTCCGTTCAGAGTATTTTTTTTATTGTGAAAGAGCCACCAAGTTCATGTGAGAAACAAGAGGCTCATCGGATAAATATTACATTTCCAGAGTGAACATATTTTAAAGAGCAGTGTTGAGAAGGTAGAAATAAAACCAAACTCATTCACAAACATCATGAGTTTTATTCCAAGCTTGTAAACAAATGTTTTCATCCGTCTCACACTCAATAAAGATGTAAAAGACCTGAGCTTTCCAGTCTCATACATCCACTTTAAAATAAACCCAGAAACCACTCTAATCTTTAAATTCAGCATCTATTAATTCTCTTTTAGATAACACATATACATTTGAGGAGTTACCATGTTTATCTATTAACATATTTTTTTTGTGAACTGGACCTTCAAATTGATTTCTTGCTTTGATAGAGGTTTAATGGACATCATAGTATGGACAAAGGATTTCCTGAGTAACATTATGTGCAAAGATGTTTGGACTATGCTAACAAACGCAGTACTTAAACCACTAACAGTTGTGTGTCGGTTACACATAGCTAGATGCTATGTTGCATGAAGACTGAATTAGCCTAGTTCATGCTAGAAAATGATTTATAAAATTTAATGGAGTTCGATTTGGGGATATATGTTTCAGGCTCAGTAAAGAAAATTGTAAAATCTAAAAGTAACTTTGGTTTGGTAGTGGTGTTTAAGGAACAGCAGGATTTGTATGGATTTTATGGATTTGTCTTGTTTTCAGGATGATGAGCTACGATTCACTTACGATTCCTGTTTCTGAATCTTTGCTGTTTGAAGAATGAAAACTCTGCTTAATAACATATTTACACAGACACTGCATGTGATAAAAACAGGAAGGGCAGATCAATTTAATAGAAAAGATGCTTTTGACTGAATGTGTTCAAACAATGAGCTAAATAGACAAGCTGATGGCTGTATGGTAACAGTTTGTTTAGATGCCATTACACTCACTGCAGAGTGGAAACATTAAAAACTACATAAACTGTACAATAGCTGAAACTAGATGCAATGTCAGTGCTTTGCCCTTGGAAATGCATACACATAATAAAACATATTATGAATTATCACTTTGAGCTTTTGTGTAGGGGAGCAAAACACATAGTATGGAGACCTCTCCTCTCTGTGTTGAACACTGTAAACAGTCCATGACTAACTATTATATATCAATTTGCTGAAGGCCTTTTCTCACATACAGTATTTGTTATTGCTTTAGTTATTCTGCATTAACACCATAATGGCACGCTACCTGGAATTCTTAACAATTCACAGATTGACAAAGTCCCCACAAATGTACAGTGTTTTCAACATAAAATGCTGAAATTGCAGGGTTCTGCAATAACGTTCCATCTCCATGTGACTTCATTTACCAATCCATCTTTCGCAGATGAAATAAGAAACGGTTATTAAATATCTTCCAGTTAAGCGGAACATGACTGCATGTCAAGCAAATTCAAGTGGCTCCAGTTTTCTCCTGTTCATCCAAGGCCAAAGTTTAAATCCACCAATGGGTTTTATCTGTTTTCTTCTGTTAAATTAATCATGTTTGACATACTCACAGTAAAATTCTCAGTGGAAAACAAAATGCTGCCTCATTTTTGGCTTGATGAACGTTTGGACCCCTTGGACTTTTTATCTTGCTCTTTTTGCTTTTCCTGCTTCTTCGCTCTTTTTTTCTCTTCCTTGGCTTCCTTGTACTTCCAGACAGGAGGCTCCAGGTAGCCCTTCTCCCTTTTCTTCTTCTTCTCTTTCTTTGGAGTGGGCTCGCCAGATCTTGTCACTTCAATCTTAGGGATACAGCCCGAGGGGAAGATGCTGTTCCTGTGTGCCATGCTGCGGGGAATGAAGCTTTTCATGCCACCTGAGGCCTGGCTCTCCCTGCGGTTGGAGTCCTGGCAGCAGGAGGTCAGAGATATGGAGGTGGCTGACACAGTGGTAGGAGAAGCTGAGGTGATGGAGCCGTTGCTGTGGGATACTGTGCTCTCCTCCAGCTCCTTGATGCTGTGCTTTTCAAGCAGTTCAGGCACGGCAAACCGTCGCTTGCCAATCTCTGGAGGACTGGTGGGACAGAAAGGACGGCAGCCAATGGCTATCAGGGGGCTGTGGATGCTAGTGGTCATTCGCACCATATAGTCCATGACCCCATTGTCTTGTGGGTCCTGAGGGAAGCTGAAAGTAAGGCTGTCTTTTAGACGCTGCCTCAGTCTCTGACTGGTTGTTTTTGGGGCGGTGGCCTTTTCCACCAGTTGCTTCAGCTGAGGCCACTCAGGGATGTAGCTTTCACAGAAATGCTCAGCGACAGGATGAGCCTGCAGACGGCGTATTCTGTTCAAAGTTTCAAACCTTCCTGTCCTCAGGACCCAATCCTTCAGGCCTCTCCCTTGCACCATGTCTACTGCATTCATATCAGCACCTGCACATGAGAAAAAAGCAGAAAATAAGGAAACAAGTTATTGGATGACGAGGGAACTGAGGAAATCAAATGCTGCCTAAACAGTAAAATGACCCCACCATGTGGTTGCTTTTAGAGCCTGTGTTAGAAATGCAAGCCCTTTACCCATAGGCTTCCTGATCATCTGCCACAGTAATGCTGTTGTTTCTGCTTTTAAAATTTGAGCCAAACTAACTCGTAGTATGTTACATAAAACTTAGTGAAAATAGCCAGGAATGCAAAAAGGACTTATCAGATTCCCCAGGAGCAAGGAAACTCTTCTGCTTAGGCTTTTGTAACTTGGCCGACATTTTATTTGCACAAAAAGCAACATGACAAACACACTTCTCAGATGCCATAAACCCACCATGCATTAGCAGGGCAGACACACACTCCTGTCTGCCCTGCAGGCCTGCCTTGATGAGGGCAGTGAAGCCACGGGGATCCCTGACCTCAGTGTCCACGCCAGAGTAGAAGTTAATGATATAGTTCAGAATGGTGATGAAGCCTGAATTGAAAAAACAACATCATTATTTTTTTAGGGTATTGAATTGAGACCTGATGTTGAGTTTATGTGCTATTACAGACTTCAAACTTACCTGCCTGGGCAGCAATCATGAGGGCAGTATTACCATCACTATCTTGGTGGTTGATGTCTATTAATGGACATGTATGCAGCATGGTGACAATATCGACGAAACCCTTTGCCACAGCCAACATAAGTCCGTTCTGATGACAAACAAGTTAGAAATAAAGTGACCTTTGTTAAAATGTAACTGTACCTATTTATACATTTGTATATATATATATATATATATTTATTTGTATTTACAAAAATAAACTCCTCACCCTGCCATTGATATCCTGCTCATTGGCCTCTTCTTTAGTGACTCCTCTCTCCAGGATGCTGCTCAGGGACGTGGGGTCGTTCCTGGCACAGGCCTCGTACAGTGTTCTAGCCGGCTCTGTGGGATTTTCATCCATGTCATAGTCAGGAAGCACTGAGTCATCAGAAAGCACACTGTCTGAGTCTGAATCATCCAGGAGGATGTCGCAGTCCTCGGATGGGCCTGCCCCCAGGTGGGGGTCATCACATACAGTGGCCATTGGACCCCGCACTCTGCCTTGGATCATGCCTCGGTGTCAGGTCTGCTGTCTGCCATCCACATCTTGAATAGAAAATTTAAGATAATGAACACAATTTCTTGAATTTTTGTTCAACATTTTTCCTCTCATCCATGCGACAGCTAATACACCTCCTCTGAGTTCTGAGAAGCCAATTCAAGGGGGATTTGCATTATTTATTCCCTATCCATCTATGAGGACTGCTGAGGGGGCGGGTACACCCTGGACAGGTTGTCAGCGTATCACAGGACCAGCATACAGAGACAAACAACCATTTACACTCCCATTCACACCCACAGTCATTCTAGAGTCTCCAATTAACCTCACTCCAATCTGCATGTGTTTGGTCTGTGGGAGGAAAACCCACAACCTCCACAAAATGACCGAACTGTGATTTTAGACCAGGAACCTTCAATGATTTTCTTCTCCTTAAAACCAAAGTCTCAGTTGATGTTTGACTGCAAAACTACAACAAACAATGACAGCCTCTAAGGTTTGCATGCTAAATAGATCTGTTGACCTGAGAGGGCCTCGACTATAAGGCGTGATGCCTAAAGTGGATGAGGAGCTTCATCTCTGCTCAGCTCTCTTGCTCAACTGTAAGTCTGTCATTTACAAGACATCCATATCATTGCCTGTACAACATGCTTTTCACAAGTGTTTGGAATAGAGTAGGAGAATAGTTATTATGACCGAGTAATGTCCCCATATGTAAGCTAATAAAACTCAGATGTAATGGCTTGCACCATTTTAAGAAATTCACAACAGGTAGAGTAATGACAGATAAACAGTGTTTACTTTCAGCAGGAGCCCAGTCTGTGACAGTAATGGGAATGAAGGCAGAGCAGGAGGAGCATACAGGGTTGAGAAAGGCCATATGGTGCCAGAAGCAACGGGAAGCCAGTGTAGTGACTGTCATGGTGTCTTAAACGTGTCACACTGCTCTGCACTTCAAGTACACTTGGGTTTTCCAGTGGTTTACAATGTGTGTTTTTCTACTCATGCATGTATCTAAATCAATAACCTCCAAACACACTCAGAAAATGTGTTGTGAGGAGCTGCAGATGAGAGAGAGAAAGATCTTGGCTGATTTAATATATGTCTGTGCATCAGTGGATGAATTGAACCTGTAAAACAAGCTGTCCAAAGAGGGATTCCATTCCTCGGCCCTGCATTCATCATTAAACCACACAGATAATTGTTTGCACAGAATTAGTTTTGAACTTGGTGACAATTATATGTTAGTTATTAGCGTAATAGCATTGTTTGGATAAGCTGTCTTTAGATGCTCAACTCCTTTAATCCCACAGACAAGTTTCTGTTTCATCTCTCGCAGAAATAAATGAAGATTATGATCACACACATTTTCTCTCTCTTCTTCCTCTTTCTGCACAAACATAGAAAGCTCTGACTTTACTCTGCAACAGTGGTCGAAACTTCTGCTGCAGTCCAGTAATGTTTCTGCCTCTGAATCCTGTAAACAGAACTGTAAACATTTGAGCTCAAGTAAAGAAAAGTCAAATAGTAATAGTCAAAAGTCTCACCCTAAAACAATCCAGGGATTGTTGGTCCTCTTCTCTCTTTTTTCTCTCTTTTTGAATTTGCTCTTCTCTCATGTGTTTGACCTCCACTCTTCCTGATGGCTCTTGGTGGAAACTGGTTTATGTTTAAGTTTCCCAAACTGACTCCAGCTCTAGCCTCCCCCCTCCCTCCATGTCTCCCTCTGGCCAGTTAGCTTCCCTCATCAGCCAGCAATCCGTCCAGGTCCCAACTTAGACTCTGCCGTCCTAAGTCAGGCAACATGCTCTGTCCCTCTCATCCTGATTACAGAAGATTTACGGATTAAGAGAAAGAAACAGACAGAAGCCAACCTGCTCCCCTTACAGTCTGATGATATTACTCTGCTCTCTCTCTTCCTCCTCTCCCGCACTCATCTCCACTGCTCTTTCAGAATCTGTCAATTCACAGCTCTCTGCTGCCCGTCTGTTGTGTCAGAGCAAACCTGTATGACTGTCCAAATAAGAGCTGTGACGGAATTATGGAAGTTATGGTTTTCAAATCTGCTCTGCTGCCGAAGACCCCCTGCCTGAGTAATTTCAGCCTGTGCGATGGGAGACAGTGCCTTGGGCCTGTTTTTTTCCCATGGAAATCCATTTGCTGGGACAACAATCTAACTCTGCTGTTACTATAAGCCAGGGGGCCTTGGCAGTAATTATTTCCATGACAGGAATGACACGCAAACATGCTCAAACACATGGCAATCACAAACACAACTCATACTACACCCACACAGGCAATGTAAAATGTGGAGAAAACAACTGATCAGCATGTTTATGTGACGAAATATCTTCGAAAGCATATATAAAACTTTCACAGACGAGTTCATTAATAAGAAGGGCCCCATGTTCTATATTACAGTTCTTCTATTTTTGAATATTGTTAATCTGGTGACATAGCTTTTCCTCAACACATCTCTGTACTCAGTTTCTTTGCACAGTCTAAACTGTAAAAATAACCTTTTTGTTTGAGGTCTGAATCCCATATGTGAATAGGAATAGGAGTATCGTGTCAACATGTTTATTCATAGCGCCAGGGACTCAAGCACATGGTGTCAAAGGTGCATGTAAACAGATTAACCCTCATATTGAAGTGAAGTGAGGCCAATCAGTGACTTTGTACATGTGAATGCAGCCTGGGTTATGCAACACCCTCTTCTCTGTCGTAGAAATGTTGACTGCCCCCTTGTGAAACTACCGGGACGTGCAGAACTCAGATGTGAGGTTAGAGTTACTGTGTTGTAGGTGAGCAAGATGTTTAGACAGCTCACGTTTAAAATAGCCCCAACATTAATCCTCCCTGCTTTCAGCTGCTGTCTACATCGCCTCCAAATATATCTACAAATTCACAACAGGACACATCTAGTTTGCACAGGACTCTCATCTCCATTTGACATGAGTGGAACAATTTGTCTTCAAATTCTGTGCCCTAATAAAATTATTGTGATATTAGTTTGTCACTGTAAAGCCCTGTCTTGGCCGGGTAAAGCCACTGTGACAAATTGGACTCCCTTTGAAACCACTTTTTGAGAATTTTAGTCGCTGATCTGTTTGAAGAGTTAACTAGAGAAGTCTCTGGTTGTGGCCAGCTGACGCTTTAACACCTCCAACAACTAATCCCTACTTGTCAAATGCCTCAGCCAGTTCCTTATTAGATGCTGCCCCCGTGGAAATAAACCATCAGATTGGACACAGACCATGACTCTAACTCTAACTCCAACTCCAACTCAGAAGGTGCTATGTTTAGCCACAAGGGCCTGAGTTGTGTCTCGACTCTGTAGTGATATGAAACACAGGAAGAGGACATGCTTGGGGGCAAAGATTTATCGCTTGTGAGGCCAAAACAGAAAAGGAGCTGATAGGGAAGGGAAGTGTGTTTGGCAACTGGGGAGAATGTAGTGGTGTGTGTGCATTTGTAATTTTCCTTTATCCTATTAGCAGCACAAGAATGACCTCTCTGTGGCACCAGATGGGGGCAGTGTAGCACACAATGCATGCTCCAGCTTGAGGTTTTAGTTTTTCCCCCAGCACTCAAAGCTTTTGATTTTTTTTACAAATGATTATCAAACTTGTGGTAAATGAGTAAATAACAATTTGTCCTGATTCCCACCTACGCACACTTTCCTTATAGGGTCAGAGTCATTTTCCTCTCGATTCTGCAAATTCCTCACGGAGTCACTCACTCATCGTTGCAAATGGCAGCTCAGCTTCTCCCCAGACACCACAGTACCCACCAGAGGTCAGTGGTAGAGCAGGAGAACTTGGAAAGAGGCTTGGGAAGCAGTGAACTAAGTTTATCCGGCTTAGTGACTGATTCTAAAGTCAGTGCTCAGCTAATTTTAGATTGTTGGTAGTCTCTCCATGGCCTCTCTTACCAGCACCTCCTCTGCTCAGTATCTGTGAGCAGTTTCTATATGCATTGTTTTAAAAACATTTTTTTTTTTTTCTGGAGTAAAGACAGAATCCCTTTACTGCTAATTTGAAAGCATTGGGAACCCCTCGGGTAATCAGGTGAATGACAGGAAGTGAGGAGGAAGCAGCTAAATGTGTTATGCAAGGCAAGAGGGGGATTTTTAGATGATTTGGGAAAAGTTATAACAAGGGGAAGTGGAAGTTTGTGTTGTTTTTCTTTTTTACTCAGGGTTGGTCAAACAGTGAGGGTCAAAAAGTGCATATTGAGTAGATGCATTGGTCAGTGCCAGAGAACACACACAAAAAACATAAAACAAAGAGAAGTATGGAAATGTGAGCACCACAGCTCAGTGTGTAACTCTCTGCATCATATATACTTAACATTTAAATTATTTTAGATGAAGCCCAAACACATGACACGTTTATAAAGTATATTTAATATAACATCTTTCACAGAGCAAGTCACTGTAGACAAAGGCAGATAGAATAAATCAGTTTTTATGTGATGAGATTTTATTTCGATAGTAAGGATATTCCATAGTGTCATGCCATGGCTTCAAATGTGCAATCACCTTTAAATCTCGTGAGAGGGACAACTAGTAAACTCTTCTCAGAGTGACTTACCTGTGTAGCAACAGGTTGGACATGTAGTTCCCTGCCCATGGAGTATGTTTGATTAGCTTGAAAATAATTCTGAAGCCAGAGTACGTTATGTTGATGGACCCAGGCAGTAGCTTTGCAGCAGCAGCACATCGGACTGAGGCGCTAAATAAAGATAGTAATCGAGTCTGGAAGATATAAGCATGTGAATCATCAAGTTAACAGATATTGTAAGGTGATAAAGCAGATTTTGTAATCTAAATTCTCTAACTTTAAATTCATTTTGTTTTCTTGCTTTAAAATACAAGACATACAAACCTCTACAGATAGAGGGAGATTTCATAATGAATCTAAATGACTAAAGTATTTCAGTAAAAAATTTATCAAAAACCCAAACCAGTGTTTTGCATATTT